TGTTTTGGATAAGCAATGGATGTGGCATTGAATGCCAAATTCAATCGTATGTCGGCACAACTTGGTTGGAATGCAGCTCATTGGGCGGATGGATCTCAGCTATGCAGAGGAAGAAAAGGCAGAGCTCTGAGCTGCCGAGCAGCGTTCGGACACCTGACGGTGTTTTGTCTGTGGAGACACCCGTCACCTTCGAATTGGTTGTCATCTGCGCAAGATTCACCGAACCGACGCCCCACTTCCTACCAGTCTTCTGGTTGTAGCAGGGAAACGACAACACCAAGTAGGCCGCCTGACGCCTGGGAAGAAGTGAGTTCTGTTGAGCCTCGATATGATAGAGGTCAGCAGGTCCGAGCCCCGAAGAGCTCCGTGCTCTTGAACACGGAAGGTGTATACAAGACTGGTTGTGGAAGCGACCGTGAAGGGCTTTGAGAAGCCATGGAAGGTTCCTATCGACTCCGGAGCGTCGGGCAATTATGAACACCATGAGCAATGGATCAACTAGAATTCGAAGACCTTGGGCGCTTCGCGCACGCCTTCTGGTGCAGCTTTGGTGAGTCATGAACTCACCTCTGCTAGAAGGTAAAAACGCTATTTTCGTGGGTACTGAACTGAGACGGTGAACGTGATAGAGATCGGAGTATCCGAGTTGGTGAATGCTGAAGGTGTGTTGGGCAGGAGTCTCGAGATTGGCTGAATGTGGAGCGGCCAGTAGCCCACTGAGTATCGAAGCAGTCGCTGCATGCCATGCGTAGTATGGTCGGCCAAGTGCCGAAGCATCGAGGGTGAGCCCCCAGTGATGCACTTGGAGTCGCACGTAATCCACTGAACACTGCTCACATTTCGAAGCGGTCGCTGCAGGCCATGGGTGGCATGGTCGAACGAGGTCCGAGGTATAGCGGGCAAGGTCCTTCAGATGCGCATGGAGTGGCTCGTTATCCAGTGGACAAAGACAGCGGATCAAGCAGCTCTTTGCCGGATGTTGTTTATAACATCAAGGCCCCAGTATAGCAAGAAGTGGGGCTAACACTGGACGACGCCAAATGCTTGCTCCTTATGGTCTCGCCGTGACGTAAAACCTTTGGGGAGCGGCAACGGCAACGACGTATATTTATTATCAGCAGGTGCAGGGCGTCAACCCTAACCCAGAATGTGTCTACCGTAAACTATAGCGCACAGCTATACACCCTCGTCAACGGTACTAAGAGAGGGGAGGAGACGGCGACGTCACCCTCGAGGCTATTTCCGCGGTGGATGCACTATTTGAGCTAGATGAGATGCCCCACGAAGAGTTCGGCGGTGCCTTGAAAGCAGGCGACTTAGCCAAAGTGGCCATTATACGACCGAAAGAGGAGATCAACTCGTCGTCGCTTCTCGATGAAGCTGCCAGGGTGCTGAGCGCACGAAGTGGATCTTCGATCCTGAAGAGCTCCTCGAATTCGTTCCTTGGTAAAGGAATTTCAAGACGTCGTCTCCAAAGACCCGCCGTCGGCGCTACCTCCGGACCAAGGTGTGCGTCGATTAACCTGGTTCCGGGAACCATATATTGCGTAACACGCCGACGGCCCCTACCCAAAGAACAGTGTGACGTCATTGACGCCTTTTTAGTGCGACACACGAAGCAGGAATTGTGCGTGAGAGCAAGTCTCCAGATACGACACCCATGTTTCGTTTCCAAAAGCCGAACGGCAAGTGGCGTATCGTTTATGCTTACAATACGCTCAATGCTGCCACCAATCCAGAACAGACGTCAACATCTCGGAGAGATGTTCTCCAGAACAACATGATTTTATCTACAACGTACAGTGCACTCGACTTGGTACAGTCTTCGTTGCACTATAGGGCTTTTTCGGTCAAAAGAGACTCCAGCCCACCTAAATATCACACACCTATTTAATGCGGGTTGGCAGACACAGATTTGGGGTGTGATTGTTCGGTTACTTTTGTGACTCCCCCGCTACCTTAGCACGGACTCTATAGTTATCGAATCAGATACCTCGCGGCCTCAGGTCAAGTGACTTACCACTTGAGCCCGGGTCGGTATGCGTCTGATACAGAGCAATTGCATATGAATGCTAGATTTTGCGTGCCGCCTTTTAGCATTATTAGCTTAAGCACAACGCGCTTATACTATGCTGTGTTAAGTGACCGTGACGATATTTCTGCGTCATTTGTTGACCACCTAATGACGGGAGCATATTGGTGTCCAGAGGACGGAGGAGAAAATGTGTCAAAAAAATTACAGAGAATAAAGTCAGATATTTGGTCGACAGATCGACGACTAGTGCTATCGAGTACAACGCGGTAGCGGTATTCTACATCACTGAAGATTGACTCATTAAGTCTGCATTGGCAAACACACAGAGGGTTGGTAAGTTCAAACCCGTGCAGAATTTGCTTTAGAATGTAACAAAACGAAAGGGTTGGCTTGAACTTATTTTGTATAATCATTACTATTTGATCAGAATAGAACGCTTTATATAACATAACGTTCGGCTAACAGCCTTGTGTAACTGACTTTTTTTAGGTTGTACCTCTCGAACTAGTTCCCGCATTTGTCATCTTGACCATAGTACCAAAAATTAAAATTCATGAGTCTGGTATGGTCATTAGGACGATGAGTAACAATTACGTGCGCAACAACCCGGTGAATTCGCTTTATAATTCCTATCGGTGTAATAAAGAGAAGAAGAGTCTAAAACATCAGTTATCACCGGGCACAGCACAACAAATATTAAGTCGAACGCCTCATTTCACGAACTATGGTGATCTGATATACGTATTATAAGTTTTTGCGAAGGAGCGTGTGTCCACAAGAAAAAAAATTGTGAGTCACACACCCCGATTTATCTGACACTGGCTTAGTCATCTCACTCAAAACTGGTCATTGTGGTGTTGTAATCCGGAGAAAATATTGTCTCCATTTGATCGGTGTCTAAAAATATTTCTTATTAATGAAAGGATGGCTTTCGCGTCAGGGATACTCTCCAAGCCAATCATGTTTGTACGTGGTGTCTTCCGGTTATTCTGTATCACCGGCACTGGAACACGAGACCGATCATAGGTGACTAATATATCCTTAGTAGTCCTTGTATGCACCCCAGACTAATCGTTGACTTTGGGTAAAAGGGCACGAGACCGTAATCAATTTGCTCGATGAAATTTAGTGATCAAACCGTAGTGATAGCATTTCAAAAAATGATAATATTTCTAAACGGAACGGATCGTAGGCTGATAGCCTCACACAAACCATTTAGCAAAGGTTACATCATTTGCTACATCATTTGCTACACATCGCTCT